TTTTACACAAGCATTCCCCAAACTGGGCCACAAATGAGCAGCTAAGGCTGAATTTTGGAGGATAAACAGGGTTGAAGTTAAACATTTAAAAAAGCCAAGATATTGAACTGGTCAAAGACCAAATAAAATAATAACAATCATAAACTATTCCTCCAGAGCATTTCTAATCAACATTCCTTTCCTACCACAGAAATGTTCTGTGATCCAGTATCTTAAATTGAGAGAAAATATAGTATAAATTGCTTTTTCCTCATCCGTAAAAGAAGAAATACTATGTTTGTCTTCTGACATAGCTTGTTTTTGGAACTCAGGATAAAAAGGTATTAATTAAAAGTAATGAGTAATCATAAATATATCTATATGTTCAGTAATAGATCTAACTATATCTTTCTTAAAATACCACTGACCATTAAGAAACTGTAAAGTACTATTGGTTTAATTGCTAGGGAAACATTATGAAACATGCAAATGTTCATAGTCTTCAATAATGTAAAATTTTTATAATAACTTTACTAAGGTTACACTAAAATATTAAATGTAAGTTGACTATACAAATATGTAAGCTTATTAGACAAATATAGAGACACACCTGTACAAGGCCAACTAGGAATCAATACAACTGCAATTCTGCCTTCCTGAGTCAAGTGTAGTAAAGGTACCATTCAAGTTTTTAAGGCCCTCAAACTGTTTATAGTCTCATTCAGGGAAGTAAAAAATAGGCAGAATATTCATAAATTACAAATGTACAGGTGGAAAGCAGATACAAAAAGAGTAGTAACTTTTTCCAAAGTCACAATGTTACAAGGTTAAAGACTAAAAATGGAACCAGACTATCATTCATCTGACAGTCCAGGCTATATAGTCCATCCAAAGACTTTTACACAAGCATTCCCCAAACTGGGCCACAAATGAGCAGCTAAGGCTGAATTTTGGAGGATAAACAGGGTTGAAGTTAAACATTTAAAAAAGCCAAGATATTGAACTGGTCAAAGACCAAAATGAAGAACCTCTCATTGTTTAATTTACATGTATTGGCTAAGCAAGTGAAAATTTTAAAAGCTGAGCAATACTTTCTCAGAAGAAAAGAAGCTAATCTTACCTTACGTGTATCAGGGTTGTGGTTGCTCCAAGTAATTTCTTAGCCATTGTTATGGTTATTCTGATTTTCCTTTGTAAATGAGAAATTAACAGATTCTACAGTATAATTTCAGAATAACAGACTTAAATCATACATCAGAATAAATTTGGGGCCATATGGATAATTATGTAACATTATTCTACAAAGGATGAGGACTGGTTAAATTAATAAATACTGGCTATATAATATAAATATATATATATATAAAACAAACACTGATAAATAAAAATGTTACTTGTAAGAACTATGTAAATTTTTAAGCACACAAATACTAGGATATGGGAATATAAACAGTTAAGATCTTTGTCCCACTCAAAATCTTTTGTGGGAACGTCTAATAAAGATGATCAGTTGGTTTTTCTGGGTTTTAGTCTTTCTTCCTGCCTCTGTTCATTCTCCATTCTCTTATGGAGGTAAAGAAGTTGAAAATTGGTACAGAACGAGAAAAGCAGAAGAGATGGACAACAGCTTCAGCACTGCCAGTGAAAAGTCACCATTTAAAAATGAAAAAATGGGCCCTGTGGCACTGTTACAATCAGAAATACTATTGTTTGCCCATCCCTATCGCTGTGTGTACTCCAACACCTGCATTATATAGGTGTTGCTGCATCGTTACAAGCAGGTGTTATCCTTATTTTACACCAAGTCTTCTACTGTTAAATCTCTGGCTACCAGAGCCAACTTAGATACTTCAGACACTAAACTATTTAGTAGTGGAGTTATGAAACAAAGCCAAATGGATTAGGCAAGCAGTTTAAACAAGCATACAGTTTACAAAGCATTCAACAACCGAACCAAGCCAAGAACAGATTGCCTAATTATTAGACCAAAGTTGACTTGCTCCGCTAGATTCCTAAATGGGAATACGGTTATACAAAACACTCCCATCGACAACTTTTACAGATGAGCGAAGTGGGGAACAAGCACAAAAATACAGTATATGGACTTATTATCTGGTCTTATGTCAAAAAGAATAACAGAAGTTGGTGGTATTATCAAGAGTAAGAAAAAGACAAAAGGGATGACTCTGCAGTTCTTGATGACCACTATACCAAGTGCGAGACCAGTGACTGCATAACGCAATGGTGGAACGCACAATACCATTCTGAGAAGGAAAACACGAATGATGAACGGATACCCATTTCTAACTGCAGTACGATAAGTACTAGCACCTGAGAAAAGTTTCAGCCCACTACCAGGCTACATGTTAGTCAGAGAGAGTTCAGGGAATTACGTGATTAGAAGAATTTGAAAGGAGCAGCAAAAAGAAAGCTAACACTTTATATTGATACATGTATATGGTATATACATCTGTTTACACACAAATATTCACATATATTTTCCAATATGTAAATGAACAATGACAGGTACAAAACAAAAAATATGAACCTCAAATACTATGTTTTGAAGTATTTTACTCAGATGGAGAAGGTTTGGATAAGCACCTAATCTGTATATTCATTTATGGAATCCCACGCTGTTAGGACAGCCAACAAATCTCTTATTTACAAGTGCCCTAAATACCTTGGCAGAAATGATGAAGGGGACTCTGGAACTAACTGATGGTCAGGCCGCCAAAACAGCAAAATTATAACTTCCAAAAGGAAAGACAAAAGTTGCCGTAAATCGGAGAGGAGGACTAGAATATCAGAGGCAGCACCAAAGAATAAAAAATGGACAAGTGACACTGGAACTGCAAGCACCTAGCCTTGGACGACGTTTTGATTCAGGAGAAGTGGTTCTCCCAGGTCGCTAGGTGGTGCCACTCAAAGGCCCTCCGGCCCAGGCCAGCTATCGTTTTCTAACTTTTGGACAGAAGAAGGAAAGGTTACCCAACAGTGGAGGGAGCAATGTTGGAGGATAAGTGTGCACGCAGAAGCACTTAGCAGCCTGGGCATCTTTGAACGGCCTAAAGAATTCTAGTGTCCAACGATGATGCCTCTGACCAATGCGACATTAGACTTAGAGGGTGGATGCCAGCAGGGGCAAGAGCTGTGTGACTAGCAGCACACAGACATGGGGGAGATAATAATGGGCCCATGGAGAGGCCCTGGTGGCACAACACCCACTGGTGACCCCAGCTGAAATATTCCTGATTCCTAAGTCCTGATCCCCCAAGAGTTGCCAATGTCATCTCTTCTCACACAAAACAAATGTTATTTGGGAAATGATAAGGACTACCCCCAACCAGTAAAGTGAGCAGTGTCTCCCTGATAATGACTTTTCTCCAACTATGGGTTAGAAGCCCAGCTTCAAACATGTTGAGTAAACCATGACCAGTAGGTAACCCATGCTGACGAAGAACGTGTGTGAGGTGTGAAGTCTACAGAAGTCCATGGCACCAGGTACCAGCCCCGCCCCAGGAAGGGCTAGGGGCACGGTGTCACAGGTTACACCAAGAGCCAGATGTCTGTGCACATCAAAAGGCTCCTGACAACTCCATTTTCTGGGCATGCAAACAACAAAAAAAGGCTTCTAAAATGTTTTTCCTGACACTGAGAAATATTTTTTTTAAATGACAGTGAAATCTGGCCACAGTTGTTTCTATTTGCACTAAAGTACACTTAAGGTTCAAGTTTAAGTAAACAGACAACTGAGAGATTTAATACTTTGTCTTAGATCCTGCCACTTCAGAAAGTGAATACTCTTGCAAGACGACCAAACTAAACAGTTGAGAATTTTTAAGTGATTAATGGAAAAAGACTGAACAAGGTACATTACAGTCTGTACTTAATTTATCAAACATACAGACCTCTTTAAAATCTAACTTATGTCTAGCTGTTGAGATTTGGCAGATCGGTCAGGATCTCGCCTGATCAGCCTTACGGCATGTAAGTACTCTACATTTTCAATACCCAAAGACAATCAATGATCAATGATGCAGTAAGCCTTACAACTTGAGCATTCATTTGCAGGAACTACAAGAAATCTTGGCTAACACAGCCTCTACTGCACACCAGAAACGATTTTTTAATTGTAAGAAATGTAATGGAGTTATTATCGTTTAGTTGCTGTTCAAAACTTAGAATTAGGTAAGAATTAAAATGTTGCGATTACTCTATATTCAATGTAACACACATCAAAATCTCCCTTCCCCTTTTAAACCTAATACACAACTGCAATATGAACACAAATGCAATTTTTTAAAATCCTTCAAAAATAAGAATAAAATCCTATTGCTTAAAAAGATAACAATATGACTTAAACCGGTCAGTGAAGTAGGCAGGAGTCACACGTGCATCTTTTCCTAGGCAGCCAATTTTTTTTTTTAAGTGGCTTAAGTTTCGCTTAGGAAAAGTTATAGGTAACATTGTGGGGACTACTAAATATTTTCGCTCCGGGCTAAAGTACTGAACTTCACGGTTGTTACCACGTTGCTCGCTGCGGCTGTGAAACACATATTTGGGGGACAAGTTAACAGGCTTCTATGGCTCAAGTTCTCTTAATATACATAAGAAAAAAGTCACCTTGGCACGAAGATACTTTAAAAATCAGCTTTGAGCGTCTCAGTTTTGAGTTCCTTGAGACGTGGGTTAGCGAGGGGTGAGGACACCCCAGGCGTGTTTCTGAAAGACCTTTCGGGGCAGTAAAGTGCCCGCGAACAGAACTTCCCGGGCCGCAGCCCTCCCCGTCCGCCACACCTGACCCGGCGCTGGCCGCGGGGCCTCGGGGGCGCGCAGCGGCCACGCCCGTGGAGCTGTCAGCGGCCGCGCCGCCGGGGGAGCCTCGGGGCCGCAGCGGCTCCGGGCGCGCACAGCCCGGGCGGCTCCGGGGCTCACGGCCCAGCGTCCCGCGGCTCCCCTGGCGGCGCCCGCTGCCCTCGGCGCCCTGGCCGCGGCCTAGCGACGCCCGCCCGCCTCACCTGCGCGGCTGCGACGCCGCTCCCGCCGCCAGTCGCTCTCGTAGAAGCCCAGCGTCTCCGTGTGCTGAGGCGCGGGCGGGGGACCGTGGCCTCCGCCGCCCGGCTGCTCCGTCTCGCCGCGGCCGTCCCGCTCCGGCCCGTCCGCTCCGCCGCCGCCGCCGTCTCCCGGGGCGGCCGCGCTCCCGACGCCCGCCATGTTCCGAGCACAACAAACCGTCCCCGCTGCCTCCCTCCAGCCTCCGGCCCGGCCTCCGCCTCCGGCCGGCCCCCTCCCCGGCTCGCCCCGCCCCTCGCCGGAGCCCGGGCCGCCGCCGCCATCCGCGGCCCGTCGGCCGACGCGCGCCATTGGCGTCAGCGGCGTGTGCGAGGCCGCCGCCGCCGTTGCCGCTGCCACGGCCGCCGCCATCTTCTTCCTGCCCTCGCCGTAGCGTGCGGTGGCTTCCCGCGCCGCGGCGGGCTCGGCCGTGCGGGGCACTGCGCCGGGCTCCATGCAGGCGGGCCGTGAGGCTGGGGAGAGCGGGCGCCTCTGGGGCGCGGGTCGGGGGCCCGGCGGGAGCGGGTCGGGCGCGGCCGCTGCGGCGGGGGTGGCGGCGGCCCGAGGGTCGGTTACGGAGCCCCGGGGCGGCGGCCGCTGCGCCCGCTGCCCGCCGTCTGCGAGGTGTCCGGCCGCCCGTCCGGGGCCCCTTTTGCAGGCTCGGTGTCCGGAGTGCGCCGGCGCCGCCCGCTCGGTGTTAGCACCGCCCGTGCGGCCGTGGCAGCGTGGGCCGCGCTCCAGGTCCCCGACCCCCGCAAGGCCCGGCCCCACGCGACCGCTCTGGGCCTCCATCTCTTCTGCATATTTATGGTCGCTCGTCGCATTCCCTGGCCTCTGGGTTTCCGTTGAGCTTCCAAAGCACTTGGGCCAGAAGGAGCTCGGGGATGCTGTCCAACAGGTGGGGGCGCGGAAGGGACGCGACGGGCCTCAGGGACTCAGACCGAGAGGCTACGGGCTTTACCCGTTTTACGCGTCCGCGGACCTGCTAGGCTGCCTTTCGGGATTAGGGTTGGGATATGGCTCGGCCGCCGCCATGTCCTTGCTCCATCGCCTAGGCGATCGCTCTACTTGGGCGGACGGTCCTTTGAAGCTCTGGCGCGTGACTCCGCACCGAGCACGGGCAAGACCACCCGCCGCAGGGTGAAAGTGAGATGCCCGCGCTGGGGGAAGGGTCTGGGCCTCTGCCGCCCGCTTCCGGCGTGGTTGCTGCTGCGCGCCCCGTTAGGGGGACCGTGGCCGGTCGATTTCCCGTTTGCCAACTTGAGAACTCATCTGTGCCTCTATTACCTTTCTGATTAGCAAAAGGGAAACTATAATTCTTCCCCTAACGTGAAGCTGTCTGGGGATTTAGCTAGACCAAAATTTGAGAACCAGATATAAACGGATATGAATAGAGCAAAATCGAGCTCGTGGTGATTCATCAGACACCTTGAGGGTTCTGCTGTGACTAGAAAGTACCTGGTCACAAACGGTCGGCAGGTATAAACCGAGTGGCCTCTTAGGGGCAGCATCCTGGGGGTCCTGACCGCCTGACATCAGGCGGGGTAAGAGGCAAGGGTGACCTCCAAGACCAACTAATAAGGCCCCGAAGCGGGGAACTGACCTTCCGCCCACCCTGTGAAAAAAGGAGCCAATGCCTTCGTAATGGCTTTATCCCCCAGGAGCGGCACAGTTCACAGGATTCCATTTCTCAACTTCTGTGACCATCCTCCATGAATGTGTTTTTGTTATACTTGGTCAAAACCGATCTTTAGTGAATCACTTAGAAACAGACGCTCTGGTCAAATATTTAGAATCATTAAAAAAAAAAAGATACCGAAATTTTTTGGCCTCTAAGTCTCCTTGCAACTCAAATCCTATTACTCTCTGATCTTATATGGTGTAAAACCATCCCCATTCCATTATTTATTGGTTGTCAAAAAGGGAGTCGGCTTTATTGCTTGATTTTGTCAGTTCCCATTAACCGTCTCACCGCATTTATTGGCATAGTGCCCCGTCTTTACTCAGCAGGAGCGGGAAGGGCAGGAATCTGAAATTCTGTCCCTAAGGAAGCCAGTTGTAAGATCGGATTTCTCTCATTTTCTGGACGAGGCAGGTGGAAACACACCTGTGACAGGTTGTGCGAAGAGGAAGGGAGCAGCCGTGCGAGGGCTGGGTGCGAGGGTGTCACCCGGAGGAGCGGAGTGGGAATGGGAAAGCTGAGGAACTTGGAGCTTCTCAACTGGGTGTTTTCACTGGAGCTGCATTACTTTATCTGACACTTTGTGAAAACTGCACAATTTCAAACAAACCTATAATGAACTCAGTATACCAAAAGGCATTTTTAAAACAAGCATTAATATAAATAGTTTTTTCACTTAGCATTAAAAAGGCCCCGAAGCAGGGAACTAACATCAATTCTTACTGTATATGAGATTGTTTCTTTGGAATTAATTCAACCTATTGCAACTTATTCAGAATCCAGGAAAGGGCATTTTCAAATATGTATTCTAAACCTTCAAAATACTAAGTTTCAAATAATCTTAAGTAAGAAAAAGTTACATAGAAAAGCCAGCAATTCTCTGAGGAAAATAAATAGCAGTTAAAATGCTATAATGTTCATTGTATCAGTTGTAAATGGATATAGGCCTAAACAAAACAGCACCTTTAGAAAACGAGGAGTATTTCAAAACCATGAGAAGCCTTGCCCTTAAAGAGACATAGCATTCTGAGTTAAGTTATAAAATAAAAACAGGATTTGGATGACAGTGAGCTACAGTAACCCAACTTAAACATTAATTCAGCAAGCAGTGAGATGGTGTGTTAACGTGACTACTAGCCGCTGGTGAAACTCCACTGGTGGAAAACATTTTCAACAGAGGAAAGTGATGAACAAGAATGAGAAGTTGGAAAGTCTTAGATGAAAACAATAGATCCGGAAAAAAATTCAGTGAGTTAAGAAAACTTTCTTACATAAGAAAGGGATTTATATATCCAAAATTATATTTTGACATACATGCATAATAACTATGATTAAATTATAGTAAAAAATAGCTACATTATTAAGTATTCTTGGGCCTTCTGGTTATACTATATACCATGTAACTTGTGTCTTGAAAACAGCAAAACACAAAATGCCATTTTTACAAAGAATGGAAATTTGGTCAGCAGTATACATTTTTAAATAAATCACATAACTTCATATTTCAATAATTAAAGACTTAAGATTTGTGCATTTGTGACTAAACAAAACACATTGAATTCATTGTGTGTGAATCGTGGATTCAAACTCCAGAAAATTATCTGAATGAAGCCTTTAAACTTTGGCTCTTAGTATCTTTCATTGGTAAATGGGACAATACCTGAAAAATACCACTGTTTCACTTTATTCTTTCTCCTTAATGGCAACTATGAATACTTCCTTTCATTTAGACTGAATAGGCTTTTCAAGTACAAAGGAGTTTCTTTCTTGACAGCACTTCTAGTATAGTGCCCCTAAAATATGTTTGAAATTAATTCTATATACTTTTCTTGAGTAACAAAATCAAGTACTCTGATGACTTGAAAGAACCCTGTATCAAGAGAAGGTCTGGACTGTTTCTGACTCTCTAATTAAAGAATCTTTGACCTAAGTTAATGCATGTGACCTCTCTGCTTCATTTTCCCTACTACAGGGTATCAGACTGATGGCCTCTTCCAAAATTTTGGGATAAAATCCTTACAAACACCTTTTCAGATTTCATGGACCCCTGAGTTAAAAATAGCTGGATATGTCGACATTATGAAGATTTGTAGAAAAGTATGAAATTCTTAGTTACAAAATGACTTTGTAATTAGGTCTAAAATTTGAATGTGGCAAATTCAAATGCAGTAACTTTATTGATAACACATCAAAGGTGTATAAGTCTATAATGTACCTTATTTATGATCTATGCATCAGTTCCTCATCCCTTTACTGTCCTCACCCCAGGCCTCATTAGGGTGTCTGCATTTTAAACAAATTTTGCATATACCTATGCATGCCTGTCTAAGAACACTGCTAAGGTGGCATTTCATAGCACCTGAAATGGTGTTTGAGATGATAACTGTTGTACAGTTAATTTTGGTAGTGTACATTCAACCACTGAGGAGAGTACAGTTTAATATTATATTTCTCAGTTGAAAATTTATCTCAGCAGTACATCATTTCTGTTTTCTAAACCACAGATGCCATGTGTCTAATTCACAAAGTGTGGTGCTGAATTTAACTCATTTACTGTTTTCAAAGAGAAGTGTTGATTTTTTAAAAATTGGGAACAGCTTTGCAACTGATGTTCTAAAGAAATACACTACTGGGCCCAGAGCAAACCTTTTGAATCTCTGAATTTCAGTAATAATATTTTCTATCTTTGGCAATCATTTTTGGACTGATACTCATTATGTTTTATCCTGTCTGGGCTCTATTCCATGGATTTCTAAAAGACATAAACTCAATTTGTTTCTGGGAAATATAGCACAAATTGAATAATGTGTCTTTGAATCTAATGTACCTGTTACAGCTTAACTAAAATGGTCACAAGGAAAATCTTATTTCTAAAAGCATTTCTCTGGCACAAAAATAGAGGACTGAAACCATTCTAAATAGGACCTAAAAACTGTATTTTTTAAAGAGGATGGTTTATAAAAAATATTCTCAAGTCCTGAAAGTAGGTTCTGTTTTTGTAATAAAAGTGTATGAACATAAATCTATGCTTTTTTGGCTAATAGAACCATTTATTCATGATCAGTTATAAGATTTCTTTCATATTAGATTTTAAATTTCTGGAAAATTCCAAAATACTGATGAAAGGGACCAACGTGTTGACTTAACAAGTTTTCCATTCTAGATTTCTCTCTCTGAGGAGGAAGAACTTTGTTCATTTTTCACTGTCCCCATAAGAAAATAGATGTGTCAGTTTAGAACGGTTTTAATCATTTAGTCATTTAATTAACAAGAATCTGTTTGCAGAATGAACTCAGACCTTTCAGTAAATTTGTTGATAACTGTCAAATCCTTCATAATTCCAGCTTGCCAAGGAGTTTGATTGTAGAATTCATGCAGCAGAGATTCTACTTACCACTTAGTTCATGTTGTGACCCCTTTTGGATTTTGCCTTGCAGAATTTTTAATTGTCCTGTTTTTATTACTCCCTGGTTGGTGAGTTATTTATTGCTTCTTTTGGCCACTTATCAAATAGTAAGTAGTTGGTTATCAGAAAATTTTACATGAGCTATAGGATAAATTTTTACTTTTTGTATTGTTTCTAGTTCAGTTCTCATAGATCAAGATTACTGAATAATTTTTCTCTTTACTTCCATGCCCTTTAAGTTCTTTTGGGCTGTTATCATGCCCTCCTATCCTGTAGTTAGCTTTCATTCTGCTCATTAGTCAGTGTTTCCATTCTAATACTCTTTTCTGTTTCCTTCTCCTTTTTGTTTCTGAAATAGCTAAAAGTGAATGTGCTCTCTGGGTCTTATCAAAATCTGTTGCTTAAATTTTATCTCTTCTTATGCAGACTTGAATATTTATCTCTCTTTTGTCTTTGTTACCAAAATGTATTGCAAATACCTAATAGACTCTTGGGTTCTCAAAACAATCCTCCTTTTAGGGTGTCTGCTTTTCAGGTGTTAGAAATCTGTTTTATCTGAGTTCAAGACCTTAGATTTTCAAATTGCTCTTTTATATGCATGTTTTCCTTTTCAATATTCTAAATTTATGTTTATATGTAAAAATCCTTCTGTTTCAGACATTTTCTAATTTAGTATCAATTTCAAAAATGAATAACTTTTACCTTTTATTCTCCATATATATGCTTAATAAATTCTGTAATGGGTGTGCAGTTCATGGCAGAGAACTGTACTGGGGCTAATTTTCCAAAAGAGCAATTAAAAAGCTCTTTTGTGGCTTTAGAAAACACTTTTCTTGGGACAATTTGATCCTCCTAATTATGCTTTACCTAAGCTAATACTAACATTAATTCACATTCTCCTGAGCATATGCCCAATGATGACAGATATATGCTGCGGTTAAAAATCTGGCATGTATAATTCGTGTAAATTACAACATGTAAATATTTGATTGCTAAGAAAAATGAGGCTAAATCAGATGCTGGTTATTTATCTCTTCACCATCACTCTGACCTTTCATCCATACACTTAGCTTTGCATAACACCAATTGTATAAAGAAAAATCCATTTC